CTCAGCGGAATATCACTCGCTCTCGTGAGCAATCGGTAAGACCCATCGCCCAGGTCGAGTGCACTGTACTTTGTACTTTTAACCGTGTTGTTCTCTAGGAATCAGCGTCTGAGCCTGAATGGTGGCAGCATTGAGCTTATTGTAAGCGTTAACGATACGCCACTTGCCGTTCGGCTTCTAGACACAAAACGTGGGCATTATCAATAACATCCAACGAGGAACTTCTAGCTCCGCAGTCTTCATCCAGTGGATAACGTGCCACTCCATGCACATCTGAAGGGTCCTGCCCAAGATACCTTGAACCTCGCCCAACCATGCCACTTGTGGCATGCAGCGACTACTTCGAAACGTGAGCAGTGCTTAGTGGATTACGTGCCACTCCATGCGCGTCACTGAGCCCTCGCCCAAAATGCCTCAGAGTTTGTCCGACTATGTCACTCGTGGCATGCAGCGACTGCTTTGATATTTGAGCAGCGCTGAGTGGGCTACGTGCCACTCCACGTTCAGCCCGCGATCCATGCCCGGGACTTCTGTCTGATACACCTTCGGTGTTCATCATCTTGAATACTCCAATCTCCAGCACGCTGACCGTCTCGGTCAAGTGCCCGCGCTATTAGCCCTTCTGCTTCCTAGCAGAGGTGGGTTCATGACTCACGAACAGCTCCACCAGGTCTTTGATCCCCAATAGATCCATGGCTCACGGTGTTCCAACCATGCTTACCAAGGATGAGGTCATTCCTTGAATCCAGGTCTAAGACCAAGCAGCGTTCTACGCTATCAAAGTCGGAAAATTGACTCCGAGGTCCACAAGGACCTTCGGCACCGTGACACATGTCCCCGTCGCTAAGCGAACAGTGATGGTGTCACTCAATCGCGCTTTCAGCGCCTCAGCATACAGCCGATTTCCTTTCAAAATGGAGCGTCGAGCATAATTGCCCGACGCCACGAATTCGATTAGGATATTTCGTGACTTTTCAAAGCCCTTTACGGTCGTTTTCACGACCAGCAAGCCCGGATTGCATACGCGTTCCGTATTCAAGAGCACGGAGCTCATCGGGGCTGGGCCCTACTGCCCTCTACACTATCGAGACTCAACATAACTCAGTTCGTTCCCCGTAGAGAGCCCCACGCCTACTGGGGTTGTCGTTTACCCGCGACAAACCAACAGTAGTATGTAGCTGGACGTCGGTTCGATTTATCTTGAAGCGCCTTGCGCACGAGACAGTCAGTACGAAGGTGACGGGTGTCCCCACAGACAAAATACGTGTTCGAACGCTGCCCGGTAGCTCGGAGCTCTGCCTTCTCGTCGTCAGCATAGCTGAAATTTATCGGCTCAGGCCCGCTTGACGAGATGCTAAAGTGTGCATTCCGACCAAGGCGTGCCGACTTATAGTTGACTTCGGCATTAAATACCACATTTACTGTTTCTTCAAAAGAAGACAGGTGAACACGGAAGATATCCATTCTGGCTACTCCAGTGCGGAGGCCCTGCATATGACGGTCACTGTGACCGCCTCGAGTAGAGGATTGGTTGCCTTATCGGCATCGAGAGTACGCATATCTTCGGTAAAGTCTACCAATTCCATCTTGCCCCGCCGCGCGGCAAGGAAACGCGTTCGCACACGATATGCCTTGTTAGGCGGCGAGAACACTCGTGAAAGCTGCAGTCTCATTCTTCGTCCATGAAAAAAACGCCGCTTCGACCGAAGTATCGCGCGTTAGTGCCCACTGTCGCTCTCGGCCCCCGAGCTTGGAGATAGCTAGCGCCACGCGCTGTTGCTCGTTCTGGAGCATGGCGGGGGCCATAGCCATCTCGACCTCTCTCACCCAGAGCATGAGATTCTCTTCATCCTTGCCCTCGAAGGTCTTAACGATTACCATGGGCGGCTTGGGTCGGGAGGAGTTATCCGTCGACGACGGTGGCATCATGGACGCAATCGACGGCGCATCTTCTGCTGTAGTTGCTCTAGCAGACCATTTTCACAAAACGCCTCTTGGCGCGCGCTGATCGCTTCAGATTCTTGCATTTTGAGGTGTTCCAAGCCCTCAGGGCCAAGCAGAGACATCAGCTTTTTAAGCCGTCTTGCATGCCCTCGGCTAAATAGGATAACTCCTCCATCGTCACAGAGGATCAGTCGTTACGACGGATCGACTACAAGTGCTAATAAGTGCAGCGGGGCTGCCGTAGCTCTTCCGATTAGAGGAGGCTTGGTTAAGGTCGGTGACCTTCGTTCTATACTTAGGAACCAGTACGAGTGTAGCGGATCGCAATCCGCTAACTCCAAGAGTAACCACAACCTTAACCTAAGGCAAATAAACTCTTCCGTTCAAGATGTATACTGTTTTTCTTGGTTTATTTGCGGCAAAGCCGCCAATATCTAAATCTATAGGTTTTCCTTATTACATAGTAAAACCAATTTTAAATGCATAACAACTAGCAGTCCAGCCACGTACTGACTTCTTGTTAAGGTGTAGCTACACCATTGTATAATTTCACCGTCTTGTATAACCCACACCATGTTTGGTCACACAAGATGGTGTGACCCAGCCCTTCATACCAGGGTACATGTAACTCCGATACATCGTGTACCCTTATAGAAGTCGGAGGTGACTCGGCGGGTCAAATTGACTAATCCCATATGAAGTATTGTCGTCTTCCTCAATTGAAAGCTTTCCAGGCGTGGACCACAGACCACTCGTTCTTTTCGACAGCTCAAGCCACGAGTAGATAATTCCGAGATCATTGAATTAAGCCCAAACAACTAGTGTCTATGCAGTTAATAGCAACTTTGTGCCTCAGATAGATCCGACATCTGCTGTCGTGATCAATTGTTTAAATCTTTACAATCCAATCGCGAATAATAATCAAGTGCTACACACATTTACTTCTGCTGGGGTTGAGTATGGGGGGCTTATAACCACCGCACAGGGACAAGGGTTAGCCTACTGCTCAAATGATAGATACTAATTCGGAATTGACATTGCCATTTCTAGATCAGAATATGATCCCGCTTGGTATCATTGATAACAACGTATGTATTCGTTTGTTGATTCGACCAAAAAAAGGTAGTAGTGAATAATTCAACTGACTAATGTTTTTCTATCAGTGCTATCCATTAGCATGGTAGTCATCTTCTCTGACGTAGTTATAGAGATCAATAAATGTTTTGATCGGAATATCAGTGGGGAAGTCGCGACAGATACCAAGGTCTCGTTGAGTTAGATTACGACCAAGAATTACGTACTGAGAGCTGGTTCTAATAGTCTTCGGAATTCCAAAATACGATTGACTTGTGTAAATCATACTGAACCCACATTTTTCTTCCCCTTATAAAGTATTGTCGAATTTGTGCTTGAGTTTTCTTTGGTTCTTACACGAGGTCATCGAAGATAATTGATAGATAGACTCATAAAAGTTTTGCATCTTATAGTATAGTGATCAAAAATGTCTCTGCCTCCAACAATCAATTATCCTCTATTCAATAGCTCTTGCTTTAACTCATCCGATGGCAACCTCACTTTAACTATTGGAGATCAAAGATATTTGAGACTTGGCGGAATAAGAACGCTCTCTGCCTTAAATGTGCTTGGCAATATGAATTGCGGCTTACTGACGATCAACGGGGTCCGTCCGGTCTTGGTTATGTTTCTGGAGTTACTCCTGGTGCCTCCAGTGCAAGCAAGGGCTCGTTCTTGATTCTAGCAGCAATGTTAGCGGTATTGATAACCTATCAGCTGCTTCGTCACTACATCAACCATTTAGAACGGCAATATGATTGTCCTTCTTTGATAAAAAAATAAAGTATGCATTTAAAGATTTTAGCCAGGTCGTTTTATTGTGGTAGATAGAAGATGCGCTCTCACGTCACCCCACTATGTGTAGTCGCATGACACATTGGCGACGTAGCCAATCGATGATATAATATATATTAAGACAGAGTTTCATCGTCCTAACCAGAACCAATACTCTAATGCAATCGAGTAGTATAATGTGTCCGTGCACAAAATTATAGTTTACCCTGTTGCAAATATCTCCGCCATTCACTCCTTCCGCAGTTTAAACTTCGTTGCAACGTTATCATTTCTTTGCACGTGGTGGGCTCGGTGCTCAATGTTGCTCTATCAGGTGAACCATTTAATTGATATAAAGATGAGTCATTCCACACATCACGGGGTCGTGCCCCACAAGTAAATACTTTTGTATAGATTTATTAAAACATGTAAAAGGTTGCGACAGTGAAATTTGCAAGCTGGGCGACAGTGACAATTTAATTTTCAAGATGATGATCAAGTGATCTGATCAATCCTCTTGTGCTGTAGTGTCACCCCTTAAATCTTCGATTTACCAGAACTGAATCTATCAGAAGGATCGAAGAGATCCAGCAGACAGAACAAGTGCGACTTCTCTGTTACTGATGATTCTTCAAACGAAATGATGTCATTTGTCACCAAGCCGTCCTTCCTCGGTGACATCTGGTAGGTACCCTGTAAATTAAATGACCACATGGATTTACGCATAAGCATTTTAGAAAGGTTAGGGCTGTAATCATGGCGAGTAGCTTTGCGTCCGTTTACCTTTTACTGAGACAGAAGCTGGAATATAGTCCCGAGCGTAGCATTGGTGACATGCCTTGGTGTGTTGACTACGTGGTAGAAAAAGGTGCTGATGGCACGTGGACGTCAACAGTGAAGCATCGCTCACAAATATGCTCAGAAAAATGATCCAAGTACATTGTTGTGATGCGTACTTCAACCGATGAATGTTTTCACACTCGATTACTCCTAAAGATCTCTAAAACCAATAAATGATGAGATAGCGATCCCGCTTACACTTTGCGATTTTGCGCTCAAACCTCCGACCGTTTTTACCTGCTGTCTAAAAAAAGCGTTTACACTCTGCCTTTCCGCGCCATGTCTGACCACACATAATGTAAGCGCACCGGCGAAGCCATATTCCCTACAGAAGCTGCATTCGATAAACCAATCGTAGATTATGCCCCAGCCGATAGAGCGATGCCTATAGTTGCCAGCTTGCTTACGATATTGAAAGCAGTGACTCTTCTGATGGCGGAGACGGAAGGAAATGGCGCTGAAGAGGCCAGATGCTTTCGATTTCTGAATTTGTGGTGTAGCTGCCGCAATAATCCTTTGATTCGTTGACAGAAAGCGTACTTGAGGCGACGTTGAACCCAAAAACACACTTGAAGCTAAAGTGTGCCCTGGCTTATAGCAGCGCACTTTCTACCGTCACTCTCACACTGACTTGGTCCTGTTACAAAATATTCTTACTGCAGATACACCAACTATTGCTGCTCTAACTTCTTGCCGAGAATCGAAGCCTTGTGCTGCAGAAGTCTTATTTAAGATGTTTTTACATCCTTATCTGAAATACCGCCACGAATATTAGACCTTATGTCCGCTAGGTCTACATTTTATCAAAATGACTTGCAGTACATGAGGCGAGTGGGACGTTGTGGATGTGGTATACCGCCATACCATTCAAATCGAATTTTTAATATTCCAATAAAACACATGTTCATTTGTATAGCTCCCTATAAAATAAGTGGTACAGCATAAAACTTAGGTAGTGCAAGCATAAACATGCTACTGCAAGACGAAGAGATGGAGGCCTTGGAGGCAGCGCTGTCGTTTGTTGACGACTTCACACACGACGTACACGTAGAAGAAGATATACTCCAAGGATGTGTGGATTCTGAACGCTCCCCCTTGCAGTCTACTTCCCTAACTGTGCAGACGAACGGAGATGATGTAGCGAATGAATATGTTGCGGACAAGGAACTTGGGATTTTGCTGGTGGAAGTTGAGCTTCCGAGCTCGCAAAATTCGATTTCGGGGTTTAAATATGAGTCAATGACAGTCGAATCTGATGTGCATGTGGCAAATTCCTCATACAGCGCTGCCCAAACCGCAGCCAGTACTCGCTCTGATAATCCCACTCTGCAACGTGTACGCGGCGATGCCACAGAGAAACCTGTAGTTGGGAAGACGAAAAAACGAGTACGATTGAATCCTAATCGAGCGCGGGATAATCGTAAGAACGAGCTGGCCTACCTGCGCAACAAAGTCAAGCAAATGGAACAGCAATTACAATCTCTTCGCCTACAACGTTTCGAAAACAAGCACACAATTCAAACAGTGCATCCCACACAATTGTTCATGAATCAATCAGGAATGCCACCCGTCTGGCGGGACATGGCATCGACCCAGCAAAAACGACGAGAAATGGCGGAGCGCGAGAATGCGCGTCTCAAACTGGTTCTTGAAAATCAGATCAAATTGGCGAGAAGTATGGAGATAGTTATGCAACGACGAACACGGCAGCAGCTAGCTGGCTTTAACGGTATTGTGAGCAATGCGGTCGGCGACATGCAGAGTTCCACGTGGGATCTTCTTCTTGATAAAGAGACATACGATGCGTTGCTTGCCCGCGCAGAGACAGCTTACCGTGAGGTAGATGAAGTCCTCGCTGCCAATGGCCTTGATTTTCTCGAAACTGCTTGTACAAATGCTCAGATGCGTGAAAGTCCCGAGGGCATGTATGTGGATATTTTCACCAGCAAAATGTTACCATTTGATCTAAATACAGCGGCCGAAGCTGTTTGGACCCACTTCCGAGGCAGCGAAAAGCACCGGGGAAATATCTACGAAAATTTTTCAAAGGTATGAACAAAAATTAATAAATTAAATGCCTTCATTGCTAACAATCTCTTCACTCTGTGCGTGCTTATTTTTATTGAGAACACTAGGATGTCGAGTCATCTTCAGACACCGTTGCAGAAATGTTCGCCATTGAATTCATGGCGAATGACTTGGCTGCTGACTTCCGCGTTAAACAGGTTGTGCGGCGCTATATTGAGAAAGATCGGCAAGTTGTAGTATGGGTTTCCACTGCATCAGCTCTCGAAAATTCAAAGTCGCCTTTTTCAAGCTATGGTTTCCGCGAGAAGGGCTACGTCATCAGTAAACGCGTACGGGGCTGTGGGAGTTTCTCAATGTTCCAAACGTGCTGTTTAGTTTCGCCTCAAATGGTTGGAGCCGGTTCATTTGACCTTTCCACCATAGGCTCATTTACTGAATTTGTGCTGAGTTTTATGTTTGCGACCATCACATCCAGCCAGCAGCTCATTGAAAATATGCTCATGGATCAGTCTTTGCTCAAGTCTTCCTGTACTCAGCGAATAATACCAACACAAAAGATCTGAAACATGAGTATCATTATACTCATATCGACGGAAAGCGATCCAGTCGCAACGCGGGCAATAGGTGCATCCTTAATTCCAATGAGTGTCAGTTGCAATTGCTGCCAGCGCCACTACCACATTATGCTGGTACTGATGTAGTGACTTCGTGCGTGAATGCCATTAGCTGGCAAAAGCCACTGCCGGACTCTGTAAGCATGCTTGTAATTGATGTAAATTTAATGCAATGAAAAGCCAAAGAACGTAAGCATGCTAGAGTTGCTATGTAGGTTGTGAAGAGTGTGGTGAATGGTCGCGTAATGATTGAAAGTGCACTGCACGAAGTTCGTAATAGCACCACAAAACATCGTTTATATTCGTAATTTTGTCACCACATTCAAGAAAAGTGGCTGGGCGTTGTGATGATCTTCGTGAGAGGCGCATATAAACTGTGAATTCAAAACTTCGAATAATGCTGATGTATCCTGCTTGCATGAATCTCACCCTCCACTTAATTGTTTGTATCAGCCATCACTAACACACATTTAAAAAATGAACATACGCATGTACTACAACATTTTAAGTGCTCATTGTGTAGAAGTTAAACTATTTTGCACCCCACGAAATTACAATGTTCGGAAGGATATTGTTCCAGCTTCGATTGATGGAGAATTATGTATGCACATGGAGGAAGTGGATTATGCAACGGAGTGATGGAGCTTATTTATGCTGAGGAGGAAGAGAGCGACCTTTTAGCTGCTTAGTTAATGATCGTACGAAATAACTACTCCTTGCTTACCCCCTTCGCTCTTGGCTGAGAGGTACGAAGAATTAAGCTCTCTGGCAAGGGCGGATGACGAAGCCCTCGCAGGAGAACGTCGAGTTTCAGTAGGCGCACCTCGGCCAACTGAAAAATACAGATATTAATGTTTTGGACTTTGTAAAGCCACGGAAAGTCCTGGTAAATTTAAGAGCGATTTTGTACGATGTGAACATATCTTAAATAATAGAAAGTGAGGAGGTAGTGAAGATGCCACATACGGAAACGATGTCCGATCGTCTCGCAACAGAGATGTGGCAAATGTTCTGTTGAACCTTCACATGACTTCGAGGGAATCTGACAGAGTAGAACGTTGCCTTGTTACTGACCTGGATTCGAGATATTATCGCTTTCTAAAAACGGCGTGGCTGGGATGTCACAGGACATGGCATCGACCAGATGTCTAGAAGCTTGATGTTCTAAGCTGTAGCGCGTTTTTGAGTTAAAAAGGTGCCTTTCGTAGAAGCACGCGCTCTTAGAGCGAGCACGAAGTTGCAGCACCTTTTGTGCACATGGGATTGATATTGCAATGATATTGAGGAGTACCTAGAGCAGCACTGAAATCAAAGAGCGATAATGAGCCGCGATCTCAGGGTAAGACCAAAGAGAGCGGTTATTTTTCACCAACTAAGAATGCGTGTCCCTGGCACCGACGAATCATCTTCCACAGTTGCTTCATCAGAAAGCAGGGTCTATGGACAGATCTTGCAATGATAGAGACCATTGTGGATTGACTTTCATCTATCCCGAAAGGGTTTGAGAAAGTGGTTCGGCCAAGTCAGCACATGCACAAGTTAGCGCAAAATGGCACCGCTCATCGCCGTTTTTTCTTAATAAAAGTCAAACGGTCCTGGAGAAAAGTCACAGGGGCAGTCTTTGAGGCTGCAAAAAAGCCCCCTTTATATACGTTTCTGGCTCCCCAATCCCAAACTTAACATTTATTAGGCTGCGCTTTTCTTTAAACAGATACCAATGGGCATGAACGCTTGATCGCGCAGCAATATTCAGCTGGTGTCTGCATCTGGAAGTTACTGAGAAGAAAACTCATTCATGACTAAGAGCTACTCGCTAAGTTTGGTTGGCTCTAATCCGTTTGTGATATATGTCGATCAAAAATGCGTCGTTGCACACAGAGAAGTCGTCACTACAATTTCTCACAGTATGGCAGGATAGACATACATCTTTGCCGAGTGTATCTTTGGGGTAAGAAAATCACCGGGTCGACTTAGTCTGCGACGTATGCGCTTTGGCGTCGATCTGAATGTCAATTGTCGCATGCCACAATGGTTACGCTACCAATTGATATGGCGATACACACAACATATGGGTCAGACGCAACGTGTGTCGTGCTGCAAAAGCTTTCAGAGAAAAGTGTTTGGGAGCTCATATGTCGCATTATCAAAGCGCTCGATTTCACGCCTGCGCCATTATGCCTTATTCTAAGACTGACCATCGCTCTCAGCTGGAAGAGAAAAAGAGCCAGGATTAAACGGTGAAGTATTATAGGACCCGGAATTAGCATATATCATAATTGATTTAGGCCACACTATGAACCTGAGATTGGCTCGAAACTCATTAGCGAACCTTCCAGACTAGAGCGAAAGCGGTGGGCAAGGAGCCGATATTTTGTACCACTGCAGATAAATGATTGCGAGTGCCAATGAAACTCACAGTAGCCACAATACCTCACTTCTTTCTCAGCATGGTAGAGGCTCATCGCCTCTGGCGCGCCCATAATTTTTTCAC